TTTTCAGTGAAATTCGTTTCCAGATGATTTTTAAAAACCACCCAGAGAAGTTCACACACAGAAGTTCAAAAATAATGATTTGGAAAAATATATATATATTTATCAGTGAACAGAGAATTCTTTCTCACAGTTTGTTTTTGTTGCTCTTCTTCTCGTGAACCTTGTGAAGGTTGGAGAGCTGGAGGACTTCAGCACTCAGCCGCAGCCGCTGCACACAGAGTCCATCACTCTGAAGACGTCGTCCAGCTCGTCTGGGAAGAAAGACCCGGGTGGGGACATTTTGTTCGCCATCCTTTATCTCCGAAGGTCGTCCATGAATCAAATGAGCTCGAACAAGGAGGCGTTTGAAGCCTCAAAGAAAAAGGCGAGTGGTAACTTAAAAGACCATAGTCCCCTGATTCCCTCAATGATCCGTGCTTCACATTGTCCTCATTGAATAAAAAAATGTCCTCACTGTGACGGACTGAGCCACCGTCCCCACACTGATATGCAGGTATAAATACTTTCCTGTCCTTCTCTCTGCAGGACTCCTCGTTTTTCCGGGTGCACCAGGTCCTCCCCGTGTCCACGTTCAAGGTGAGAGAACCGGGCGACCTCATCCTCTCGCTGCCTTTCCTCCAGTTCCTTCAGGCTCTTCCTCTCCAGTACAACTACGCCCTCTACAGGGACATCTTCCAGCGCTTCGGGACACATTACTACAGCTCGGGGACACTGGGAGGCCACTACGACCTGCTGTACCAGTACAGCAGGGAGGAGCTCACCAGTTCAGGTACAATAGCACAGCCTGGTGGACAAAGATCAGAATGCAAACTGTGACTCTTCACAATGTTAAAACAGCGGATTTGTTTCTGCCATGAAATGAAGAGACTTGATGCTGATTTGTGTCAAATGGCACAAATGAAATACTGTATTCCAATGATTCAACAGGTTTCCACTGTTTCCCTCGAGAGAACAAATGTGTTTCCGCATCTAAACCGTCAAATAAGTCTTTGCTTCCTGTGTCTGTGTCGACGCCGCTCCGACAGGTGAAACAGAAGAGCACATCACAGGCTGCCTGAGCCGAGAGACCAGCTGGACGGTCATCTTGTACACGGAACACAGCAGCGTGCGCCGCTGCTCTGACAACAGGATGACTGAGAAATACAAAGGTCACACATCAAACACCCGCAGGACGCACAGCAGCTCTTCACACAATCCTGCTGCTCAACAGTCCCGTTCTACCGTCGAGACAATCCGTCCTTTATTCATTCCCTGTCTCTCGTCTGTGGTCCAGGCTCGTACATCCAGGCGGCGGAGAAGTCTTTCTCCATGGTGAAGGGAGGACGAGTCAGGGAGGCAGCAGCTCTGGCCTGGGAGCGGCAGGGCCCCGCTCCGGACCGGACCTCCTACAAGAACTGGGCCAAGTCTGTCCTCGACAACCCTGCTGTGGTCGACTACAAGGTTCAGTCTTAAAGCTCTTCCCTCAAACGTCTTCAATCAGATCAGTCAAAGTCCAAGAAAAACTGATGCTTGTGTTTGTCCACCAGCTGCTGCCCATCATAGATCTGGTCCGAGGGATCCCCTGCGCTGTGACGAAGAGGAGACACTTGAGGAAGGCCCTCCTGCAGTACCTGGAGGAGTTCGATACCTGCAAGTGTGCGCCGTGTCCGAACAACGCCAGGCCCGTCCTGTCCGGCACGGAGTGCAAGTGTGTTTGCCAGACCGGCACCTTCGGCACCAACTGTGAGAGACGGGCTCCCGACTACACTTCAGGTACGTCTCCAGAAACCTGTAGCTGTTTGATCAACCTGCACCAAGTCAAACCGTCAACGTGGCGTCTTGTGTCCTTCCCACAGAGAAGGTGGACGGTTACTGGAGCTGCTGGGGGTCGTGGAGTCGCTGCTCGGCCTCCATGAAGAGACACCGGGTGAGGAGGTGTGATAACCCCGCCCCGCTCAGAGGAGGTCAAGCCTGCAGCGGCCCCGCCAGGCAGGAGGAGCCGTGTCACATCTCCATCTTTGAATCGTAGGTTTTCTTCAACAGCAACTTTGAATCCACGTTGAGTTACTGAAATATAACGAAAGATTTACCCCCAGAGAGAAAAGTACTCTGTTCATCTAAACACATAGAGTAATGGATTCTATTAATCATTGATGAAAGTATCACAATACTAGTATAAATATATATAGAGTCAAATATTCTTAGATTTCAAAAAAAGCATCAAGTTGACAAACCAAATATTTCCTGCAGCTTCACATTAAAAGCATTTAACTTTTATTATGGAAAGGTCACAGGGCTCAGGTGAGAACATGAAACACCGCAGGAAGTAATGAAAGCAGAGAGCTGCTGATGAAAAGCTGCAGGCGATCGACTGCACCTCCGACCTCTCAGCGACTCCTCGCTGTGCCTCCGACCCACGACACGATTCCATCATGTCACAGGACGATGGAACAAACACAGAGATCATTCTTTACTTTTCCAGCAATAACTACGGACCCTCAATTAAACAGCTTTCCAGGTTTTTTTTTTATTTGACTTTGGATTAACCGAGTTCACGTTGTCTCCTTCAGACAGGAGACGTGTGATAATGATGACGACTTCACCGTGGGCTGGAGAGACGAGCTGCCCCCTGGTGTTCAGGGCTGTTTGAGGCCACAGAGGCCCGACAGCAGCTTCCTCAGGGTAAAGACCGACGTGTTTGTACAATATATAAATAATTCAAACCAGCACATGATGAAATCTTCCAAAAACACACTCAAAATACATGTTTAATTTGCAAAACATTTGTTTTCTTTATTCCGTCTTTAAATGATAAAATAATTCGAGTTTTGCTGAGACAACAGTTTAAAGTCCGACAGCTCTGACGGGAGATCCTGTTCTGATGCTCCAGACTCATGAGAGACTGAATTCATCTTGTAACTGTGATGTTTGAAATATAATCATAAAGTTATATCTGTTATCGACGTGAAGACAGTTGTCGTGAGGTATTTCAGAGGAAAGGAATGAAGGGATAGTGACAGATTCATAAAAGTGGAGGAGAAGAATGAGAAGTGGAGATTGTTGCTGTTTGTTATATATTCAGAATTCTTCTTCTCTGTATGAATCTGCTCGTCGGACAGAAAGCGAAGCAGTACTACGACTTCGGTGAGGATGAGGAGTTCGAGTGCTTCAGTGGGTTTGAGCTGGAGGGTTTTCAGTTCATCAACTGTCTCCCTGATGGAACCTGGAGTCCGCCGCAAGGAAAATGCACAAGTGAGCCTGTTTTTTTTTTATTTCCGGTCGTGGTCGTCACCGGTTTATTTCAGGTTCAAACTTGTCCTCCTGCACATTTAGGGAAACTCTGTCTTCCTCCTGAGATCCCCGATGGGATGACGCTGTTCCCAAACAAAGACCAGTACAGAGTGGGGGAGTCGGTGGGTTTGAACTGCAACGAGGTGAACATGCTGCCGCAGCCGAAAGGTTTCTACAAGTGCAGCGACGGCCTCACCTGGGAGCCTCCGCTACCTGCCGAGCTGCGCTGCACCGACGGTAACCAACGGATTCCGATGATGAGAGACACGCGCAGCTCTACTCAGTGACACTCTAGCTCATCATGAATTCATTGTGAATAAAGTTTTCTTTCATCCTCCTGTTTGTAGAGCAACCGTTTGTCCCGGACGGTCAATGTGGACCAGGACAGAAGCTGCAGGACTCTCAATGTGTCTGCGTCGAGCGGGAGAGCTGCCCGTGAGACTTCATGCATTCATGACTTTACTCTGCTTGTCTGAAGCACGTCCAGCTAAAGAAGAGATATATTATATATATATATGTATGTGTGTGTGTGTCCAGATCACAAACGGCAAATCTCTGCGTCCTGAATGTGGACATCGGCGTCACCGTGTCGATGTCCCTCTGCTCCTTCCAAGCCGGCCGTTGCCATGGTGACCCGCTCTTCTACGTCAGCGACGGCGAGTGTGACGCGTCTGACCCGAGGAAACTGGACTGGGCCAAGTTCAGAGCCAAGATGTCGTCCAAGAGCTCGGTTCATGAGCCGTGTGACCTCAACACCTGCTACGAGTGGGAGACTTGTTCTGGTGAGTTTTTAAATTCACACTGTGGTTTTATTTTTTAATTAACTGTATAAATATCACATTTATATATTTTATATATTCATGAACAAACATGAGGTTTGAACGTCAGAGCTTTCCTGACGTCCTCCTGACGTTTGTCTCTCGTCAGCATTTAAGAAGTGTGAGTGTCGAGCCGCTCGCGACTGTGGCAGATCTGAGAAGCACACGTTCTGCGTGAAGCTGACCAGGAGCCAGAGGACTCGGGATTTGGACCTTTGCTCCATGGCCGCTCTGAAATGTGCCAGCTACGAGTTTGAGATTCTCAGTGAGGGAGCGTGTGAGTCCAGATGATTCCATGATTCTGGAGGGGCTGGAACCGTCGGGCCTGTCGGTGCGATGCTGCAGCGTCGTCTCTCCTGATTTGACCTGAGATGCTTTGTGAGGACGGACGGGGGTTTGACAAAAGCGTCTCAAATCCTCTTTGACCACAGGAGGAGATCATTTTCACTGTTAAACGTTTTTCACTTGTAATGAAAATTAATAAAATCAGAACATTTTCTGTTTTTTTTATTTTTCATTTCTTACAGTTTAAACCTCCGACTGCTTCACGTCCTGTTTTCTCTTTACAG